TTTCATCGGAGGTTTACTTAAGCGTTTGGATTTATTGGTGAAAGTTTTGATTTTCTTCATGGAATATATCGGAAAAATCCAACAAAGTGATGCTAACAATTGCTTTTCTTCGGTATTTAAATGTTCAGTTCGAATTAAATTTGTACATTTAAATTTTATTTAATCCTGTGATTTTGGCAAAATGTTTCTATTACGGCACCAAAAGTTCTCTTTCCGCGAATCGGGGAATGGTATCACTTTCACAGGTTCTGAAAATGATATCATCAGGTGTTCGTCAGATCTATTGAAAACTTCAGTTTTCGCATAGCCTCGAACAGCTGTTGTCAATGTTTCAGGGAAATGCAGGTGGTTGATATATGACTCCGGAATTATTATGTCACCTTCGTAGACGTTCACGGGAATTTTCACAGAGGCGATCTCATAGCTATTGACCGATACATCGTGAGAAATATTTTCCGTTTTATTAAAATGTAATGGAATTTTAAGAATGTCATTTACTAGGAAATTATTTTTAAATCAATAAAAAGTTTTAATTTTTTCAATTGATCTAAACCCAAAATTCCATCAAAAAAATGAATGAAAATGAAAAGTGTAAAATGTAATTGTCTCGTTATTTTAATTTGAAAAGACAGGTATATTCTACTTTAAATCGAACCACTTTTCTCCAATACCTGTCTTAATCAGGGTTTCCTGTTGGAAAATTTCATCAGGAAAATATTTTTCAGCAATTATGGGTCTTAATATTGATTGAGAGCAACCGAAAATAACAAATTTATTGGTGGATTATTGATTTTAATATATGGTAAATTACTATTGATTTCGGTATGCATTTCAGTTAAAGTTCTGTTTGGTTCTGGCTTGGGCCAGGATCCTGAAAATTTCCGGTGTTTTCGTCATAAGAATTATCAAAGGTTTCAAAATTTTGATTATTTTGTGAGCCATCATCGGTATAAAATTGTTCGTAATTGTCGGTTTCATATTGTTCTATGTTGTCGGTCTCATTAAAGGATAAATCAGTTGGGTTATCGATGTTCGATTGATTATCGATTTGGAACAACTCCTGCGAAATAAAATTTCGCGGACCTGTAGGTTTAAAGAAATTAGAAATTGGGCGTCTAAGGCTTGGGATTCGAGACGTGGTCGACAGAGGTTCCACTTTATCTAAAGGTTTCTGACCCGTGGGTTTGAATACATCTTTTGGAGGGCCAAATACTTGTCTGTTGGTCGGGTAATTTCTAGGCACATATTTAAAAATAAAAAAAAAAAAAAAAAAAAAAAAAACCTTTGATTTAAAAAATTGACTGGGGATTTGATTACGGGTCTGGTTTTGAGGTGGGGGGAATCTTGGAGACTGGTTTTGGAAATTTGTCGGATAATTATATTGTGGATTAGATTGATTAGACTGATGAGCTCTTTGTGTGAAATATGGATGAGGTGTGGTTGGTATGGGTGTGTGTGGTTTTATGTTATTAAAAGTGGAATGGGGTTGTTTAAATAAATTTTGGGTGTATTGAAAATTTTCTTCTTCGGTTATGATTGTGAGAGCACTTTCGAGATTTTCGAGACTTCTTAGTGTTATGCTTTGTAAAGGTCCAGGGAGGTTACGAATAAAAGTTCTTAGGGCTATTTGCTCGTATTGTTTTTTGATAAATTATTTTGGTCGAAATCGGCATTTCAGTCAGAGGAAGACTGTTTAATTTTTGAGCTAATTGACTACGTAATATTTGCAATCTCTTAGCAAAATCCAAAGATGTTTCTCCTTTATTTGGCTTAGCCATAAAAAGATCTTGTTCTAAAAATTTAAGCTTCTATTGTCGCCAAAACAGGCTTGCAATGCATCTTTGATTTTTTGCCAAGTATCTAATTCTGATCGGCAACCTACTAATAGTTGAGCTCTACCGACTAACTTAGTTTGTATTACTCTGATTAAATAATTTATCATAATCGCCTCTCTAGAATTACCAAAAGTTGTAAAGAGAAAGTCGCATGCAGAAATAAAACTGTGTAAGGTAATAGAATTTCCGTCAAAATTAGGAATAATGTCTACATATATGTTAAGCATTTGCAGATTATTTTGTGTTTGAGCTTGGCTTTGATTTTCCATCTTATTTGATTTTAAAACTAGTTTATTAGAAAATTCGTTTGTCAAATCGTCAATATTCATAAAAGAATAAAAGTTAAAATAAAATAAAGTAGAGAAATTACGATAGCAAAATATAATATAGGTAAAATACTAATTGTTATAATTTTTTCATTTTAAAATAACTAAAAATAAAAAATCGTTTTTGTTTTCCTAATAGCTAAATTAACCTTTAACTTAAAAAATAAAAAGAGATTTCTAAACAGGAAGTAAAAGAAATTGGACAAAAAGGACTCTTAAGTAATTCTACCGACTCAACGGGGTGACAAAACCAATTTGGACTCTGCTCTGGTATTCGGCTTTCGATGTCTCACTCCTTACACTACCGAAAATCGGACTCGATGCCGTGGCTTTCCAGAAGTGTTCGATCGGATCGGCACTAAGGGATTAAATCCGCGTTTTTCGCGATAATTAATTCAATGATTTTTGTTGCGACAAACTGGTAACTTTCCAATCCTACCAACTGCGCCAATTATGGATTTCCTGATAACGAAAATACTTTTTTAAAAAATTTTATTTTTCACAAAGTACGTTTAACAGATACAATGAATACAATGGTTAAGAACAGAATGACAATTTTAATGCGCTTGGTTATATTTATAAGTTCGGTTTCGCTCGCGTCTTCGTTGGAAAACCATGCTATTTCCTCTCACATAACTTATGTATAATCAAGTTGTACAAAAAACTGACGAACAAAAAGAAAAAGTTATCTCAAAAACTAATATTAAAGGTAACGAAAATTTAGAATTTAAAGTTAATCAGAATATACATATTAAGGAATTAAAAAAGCCCCTTATTACAGATTCCTCGGAATAGGGTTATTACTACACTGTAACACAGCATCACACTACGATTTGAACACAAATCCAGCGATCCTTCCTTATAATTTGGGAAAAGCCTTTAAAACAAGTAATCAGTGGACATTTATTCAAATTTTGGAATTAAATATTGTAATCACGAATTTAATGAATTAAAAATAAATTTAATTTGTTAAAAAATGCTTTTAATACAACGAATGATTATATGAATGAATTTCGTAATTCATATATTATTATTAATAATTTGGAAACAAAAATTGATGAACAAATAAGTCAAATTTACCTAAAAAATCCTATAAGACATAAAAGAGGACTAATAAATGGTTTAGGCTCTATTATTAAAAGCATTACTGGAAATCTTGATCAATCTGACGATGAAAGAATTGATTCAAATATTAATATTTTAAAGAAAATCAAAATGATTTAAAATAGTTTTTAAAAAAAAAAAAAAAAAAAAAAAATCAATCAATACTTTCTGAGACACAATTAAAATATATCACTTAATCAAGATATATTAAAAACAAAAATATATCAAAACTATAAAAATAATTGAAAATGTCGAACTTAAACAAACTACAATTTCTGAAGTTTTACAAGTTCATATGAACTTTATCTCACATTAGCTTTATTTATCAAAATATATATAATATTTGTGAACGTATAGAAACTGCAATAACTTTTGCTAAATTAAGAACTTTTCATAATGCTATTATGAATCCCGAATATTTATTGTCTGAAATGCAATTAATTAGTAAACATTTAATTAATGAAAAACTACCCTTTAAACCTACAAAAGAAAATATGTTAAATATTTAAAATTGTTTAGAAATTAAGAGCTATATTAAAGACCAACAAGTTATATTTATTATTGAGATACACCTCGTAAGTAAGACTCCATATGAACTGTATCAATTGTACTCTTTACCTGTATTAAGAGAAAATAAATTTCAACTGATTGTACCTAGTTTTAATTATTTATTGATTAATGACTATAATTTTGGTATTTTTAATGAAAAATGTAAAGAAATTGTAAGTAATCAATATTTGTGTAAAACATACATATTCAGAAATTTATTCACGAAGAAAAAGAGAAAGAAAAAAAAAAATTGTTTTAAAATCGTACACAAATTCTGTGACGTCATTCCAAATGATACCTTTACCTAATATTGTCTTAAATGTTAACGAAAGTAAACATAAACCTATTTATGACAATGTAAATTGTTCAATTTAAATAATATTCACTTAAATAAAATCGATGATTTGCAAAAACAAATCAATATTCAAAAAGAAAATAATGATTTATTTCTTAAACTAACAATACATTTTATATCTTCATAAGTATTTGGACAATTTCACTATATATAATCCTACATATTTTATATATTTGTAAAAGGTATTTATGGCCAAAAATAAGTAATTATTTTATTAAAATTATTATATTAATAAAATTAAAAAAATATTCATTTAAATAATGAAATTACTATATAAGGCCATAAAAACTTTAAAAAGTTTATATGTCCATCTTAGGGTGGAGGAGTTACATCCTGTACATTAGGTTTAGTACACATAAAAATGTACTTGCTTTGTAATCAATGTAATATTATAAATACGATTCAAACTGTACAATTCGTTTGAGTCCAATGTAGATCTTAGAGCTGTTAACTTCGGTTTTTATTAAATAAAACATTTTTTAAAAACAACTTGTCTCGAGTTTCTCATTTAACTTGCGTGTAGTGTTACATATTGTTACAATATTGTTAGTTACTGTTCTTTTTTTATTTATTTTTTTTTAATTCCACAGGTTTTTCATATGCGCTAGCCGGGGTTTAACCAAGGCTATCACATTTCCACATCAACTGGGCCCCAATTCTTGTCCCGTCTTTAACGTTAATAGAAGGACGGCTCCCTCATGCATCTACTGTGTAAATTAAAGGGATTAGCCGCCAGGGAGGTCTTTTTTGACGTTTTGGAGCATTATAACCTTACTTTATTCTCTTTGTTTACAAATTTTGTGTTGTGCTGTGGAATTTTACTATTTAATAATGAATAATAATAATCTTCAAAGATTTTTGTTGTGGGAAGAAATTATGGAAGATGTTAGAGATGCTGAAGAGTTTTATGCTATAAGAAGAGAAGTACTTCGAAGGCCGAATCCCTTCGATTTGTCTGATGAGAAATTCATAAAGTTATTTAGGCTTACAAAACTTCTATGTGAAAACTTAATAAATATTGTAAGACCATTCGTTCACGCGAACCCCCTAGAAGATCAGCATTAACGGTACTAACAAAGGTAACGAAAGAAGTAGTTAAATTAGTAAAAGTAATTAATTAATGCCTTAGAAAAATAAACATACATACTAAATTATTTTTTTAACATGATAGGTATACTACCTATGTAACTTTGGCATGTTATCATATTTAGGACTTGGCAGCTTTGAGGTTCTTTGGCACTGGAAGTTATCAAGAAATTACAGGAGCAAGCAATTATGTTGGCATTAACCAACCATCAGTGAGTAGATGTATCAAAGAAGTTTGTAATGCAATGAATCAGCCTCAAATATTGAATAACTGGATACATTTTACCAGAAACATAGAGGAAATGCAAGCTCTTCGAACTAGGTATGCAAGCTGTTGGTTTCGCAATAATAACTATAATGTATGTAATGTATATACCTAGGCAACTTTACTATAATAAAAAGGCTGTCTTGACAATGTTTACATTTGTTACATATTTGGTTCATCCGTAAATCCATCTGCTTTTTAATAGTAGTATGTAAAAAATAGTTGATTTTTTTAGCTTTTTCCAGAAGCACCAGTTTCCAGGGGTTATTGGTTGTGTGGACTGCACACATGTCAGCATTATAGCTTCACGTACAAATGATCCTGAGTTTCCAGAATATATTTATGTTAATCGGAAGAATTATCATTCGATAAATTTTCAGTTGGTATGTGAACAAATCAAATAAAAAAATGATCCATTATTTTGTAAAATTTACATCTAATAAGATTTTAAGTATACGTTATATACTTACTGTTTGTTAGATATGTGATAGCAATCTGAAAATTATGAATGTAAATGCACAATTTCCCGGAAGTACTCATGATGCCAATATATGGCGACATTCACAGATCTCAACATTAATGGAGAACATTTATAGACGAGATCCACAGAATGGGTTTTTTCTTATTGGACACTCTGGTATATGCATAACAAAACAATATGTCTAGCGACAGGGTTTAAGCAGAGCAAAGGGTCTAAATGTTGAATGATAGTGAATCCTAATAAAAGTTTATGTTTCAAATTAAACCCTAAGCTGCACACTACAATATCTGATTTAGGCTTTTAAATTGCATGCCAAATGTAATAAATATAACAATACTTATATTTTTTTTAGGATATCCAACAAGACCATGGCTTTTGAACCCAATTCAAAATCCCACTGCTGCTGGTCCAGAAGAAAAGTTTAATGATAGACTCTGTAGCATTAGAGCGACTATTGAAAGATGTAATGGTGTGCTAAAAAACAGATTTAGATGTCTCTTAAAACATAGAGTCCTACATTATTCCCCTACAGTGGCAGGACAAATAATCAATAGTTGTTGTGTCTTACACAACATGTGCATTGCAAATAATGTTCTAGAACCACCAGCAGAACAACAAAAAAATGAAGATATTGACTACGGCATTTATGCAGTAGAAAATGTACTAGCTGAAAACATTGGAAGAGTAAACCCCGATTTGGCAGCAGCTAGAGTTCTTCAACAAAATATTATTGATAATCATTTCCGCCAATAAAATATTTTTTAAAACCAAATAAAATCTTTTAGAAAAAAAAACATTTATTAACATAACAAATATTTACCCTGGATTAAGTATGCCTATCTATGCATATAATGAAGTTTTATGAAAAATAAAAATCACAAAAAATGAAATCAAGGATATCTAAACATGAAAAAGTTAAGACTAAAAACTAAATAATAAACTTTAGGACCCGGCACTGGGTAATTGGGTAATGGTAAAATATGTCTAATTGTAATGGTAAACAGTGCTGGATCCTTGTGAATAAACCAAACAAAAAAACAAAACAATTCTACAACAGTCTTAATAACAAACTATTTTTATTGCTTTTGATTTTGTGTTATCGCATTTTTAATAACTTGAATGTCTATTGCAATTTGATTGTGAGCATTCGCAATGGTTTCAAGTGCCAGAGCTTTTCGATCATAGTACCTACTTTTCTGTAATGAATAATTTTCCAACAGCAACTGTTTTCTTTGTTTGTATTCTTTTTCAGAATTATTGTTTTCTTCAGTTAATTTCAATAATCTATCAATATTTCTTAATGTATACTACAGCCTGCCAATTTTAGTCCTTTTTTGGCAGCTAAAACTCACCTTTGAAGTTTTTGTCTTTTCCGCGTCAACTCCAAACTTCATTGAAGGTGATTGTGGCTTGGGATTTTCTGTAAGGCTATAATCATGACCATTGTTGCTTTTAACCTAAAAAACAGTTTATAATTTAATATAGAAATTACAAAATATGCTATAACAAGTAATATGCCATTACTTACAGAAGTAGACGTGTTAGAATATTCACTCGCATAACTCCTGGTAATAGACTTGAACTCTGGGATATTTTCTTCCAAGATACAATCTGTAGTGTTTGATTGATGGTTTATATCGAGGTTTACATCATCAGTATTTTCAAAGATGTCATCACTCTCAAAATTAAATACGGCCTCTGTCTCCAAAATATTTTTAATGCCACTAATTAGTGGCAATAAACCACTAATACCACTAATGCCACTAATTAGTGGCAATAACCAAACCAAACTGCAACTGGTGTGCAACAATTGCAACTGGTGTGATAATATTCAAAACCTTTTCTTCGATCCGGGAAGATCATCAAGTAGAAGATAAGATGATGGACTACCTCCAGTGCCAGTCATATATTTCTTTTGGTCAGAATGTCTTGATTGTCTTAATTTCGTGTTTTTTTTATATCCACCCAGCTCTACAAGAACAAAATAAAAATAAGTACTTGAAAATGAAACTAATATTTAAGAGCATAACAAGAGAATAAACATTATAAAAATACTGTGTTTTAACCACATAATATCTTTAACAATGGGGAACAAAAACTCAGAAAACAGTGTTTGTTTATGAAAATAAACGAGTGCAGTTTGGTAAGGTAACCCTATTAATATTCTTTTTATATTATACTTACCCAGGGAAGTTTTCTAATTAATTATATTTTATATTATATTATGTTCTCGATTATGTTTTTAATGTTGCTATTGACTTACCTTTCTCCATTGTCTCCAATCTTTGGCAGGGCCTTCAGGAACACTATTTAAGATATTCGTTTTCTCCTACCAGTTTTTTATCATTTTTCCTCTGGTATACATAGGAGTTAATTTTCCCGTATACATTTCTTTTAGTGCAGAAATAAATTCCACCAACATTTCTTTTTGTCTTGGTGTTATTGGATTAGACTTAATTTTCTTCCTCTCCTGCTCCATAACTCATACTTTGGGAAATAAACTAAATAGCACAAATCACGAGAAATTCTAAACAATATTAAAAAACCAAATAAGTAACCTTCAAAAATCATGTGAAATAACATGGAAATAACCCTGAGCAGATGGCAATTAACATGACAGATTCCTACTATCAAAAAATTCGGCTATATGATTCGTCAAGAAATTTGGCATCGCTGTGGCTACGTTCCCCTGTTCGATGCTCCCTCCTTTATACTCCAGAATACGGAAATGTGATCTTAAGAGAACGACAATAGAGTAGAATCCTAGAACGATCCCTGACGATTGTTGTATTCTATTGCCGTCAAGAATTGGGGCCCTGGACAAAAACCGTCTCACAATTTCTGTAATGCCCAGAATTGTAGCTTTTTGCAATATTAACCCAGGACTGATCTCCATAATCCCAAACGCCTCAGGATATCAGGACACCTATTCACTAAATCCAAGAGAAAGCATTCTCTCACTCCCCACTCACAACGGCGCATAAAACCGTATTCACGACGTCGCGTCGATGCTACTCTCTTATAATTTGCCCAATGTTGCCAAACTAAATGACAATTTTTTAACTACTTTTAGTTCAAAGTACTTTGAAGCTAACTTCATGTTATTAAGTTTTAAATAATACTTCAACAGTTTCTGGCCGTAACCAACAAGTTTTGCTTTTCGAAATTTTTATTTGAGTGCAATAATAGTTTTAAGCATAAACTAGCTTTTTCCCGCGACTACGTTCGCGTTACATCTCGAATCGTTCATGCATTGATTTAAATGATGGTTTACTTCTTCATACATCGAGCTAGTGAGCCTTACAAATGCTCTATTTAAACTATGTTTTTAAGAGAGAGACTACTCGAGCTTAGAACTACTCGTATTTCATATGAAAGTTAGCAATTGTCGATTTTCTGGGTATTATACAGGGCGAATCTTGAATAAGTGCATATATTTGCAGGGCTAGTAGATCTCGATAAAAGAAACATATTTTCTCTTTACCGTTTTTCAAGTAACTCCAAAATAACCGTGTTATTTTACTTTAAAAGTTAAAAAAATATTCTTTGCTCAAATTTTGAGAACCACTGGAGTTTTGTGGGTTAATTGCAGTTATTTAAGACTCGCCCTGTATATCCTTTCAAAAATCCATTTTGATATTTTTGACTTATTACACATTTTTTACTAATTTATACAAAGCCGCCAATTTGCCAATTTCAAGAGCATTTTAGGGCATTTTTATCCTCTTTAAATATTACTATGTATTTAAAAAAAATCCGAAAATTTGAAAACCGTTTTTTATTTTTTCATCCCCTGTATATGACTTTATGACACACTGTATACCAAAAATAAGACTTTTAATTAGACCCGTCTGAAATAAATAATCTTAATTATTCCAGAAGTTATCGAAATCAAAGTATTTCAAAAAAGTTCAATTTTGGCCCTAAAATGATTATGAAATCTTGCTTTTTAACACTTTTTTCAAATTTTTGAAATACTCCCCTGATTTTTTTTATTTTTCCAGAGCACTAATACTCTCTTTATACACGTTATTTTTTATTCCTAGAAGGATGACTTGTAGAAAAAATATTTAGTTCATATTAATGATGTCACTATATAAACCCTCTAGATGTTATAGTAATGCATTTTCGTACAGCAAACTTTCATTCCCTATTCTATTCCTAAGGGTATGAATTCCATAAATTGGCTATGTCCAAATAATTAACTAAATGTCATTTAAACGATCCTTTGTGCAAATTTTTATGTGTATAATCCAGAGGTCACGAAGGTTTACATAAATTTTTACTAACTTTACCCATTTGGTTGATGAATTTCAAAAATCTCTTATATTTCTCTCTTTAGAATTTCATTCTTCTAGACCAGATAATAAGGAATTTTCATACAACAAATTTTACACTCTAAGAGGATGAATTTCCTAAAATTGCTTTGCGTAGCTATTTCACTAATCACTAATGTCGTTTAAACGAACCTTTGTGCTAATATTTATGTATCTAAAGCTGGGGGTATAAACTGACCCCTAAAATATCTAAAAACTTAACTTAATATATAATCTAACTGACACACCACTGACAATGACACATAATTTATATCTGGAGGTATTCTCTGTAGGTGTTTTTCAGGTATGTTTTAATATTTATTCGTTTTGCATAAAGAAATAGCGATTAAACGATATGAAAATACTTCATAACAAATCTAGACATATATACTTTTCATATAAAAAAAGAATCATCAAGATTGGTGAAGCGGTTTGGGCAGGATGGATGTAACAAAAAACCCTTTGAGCTTTTATATATGTATGGATATATATTTTCAAGAAAAACCAAGCAAATATGTTCTGTGAAGCTCAAAAGAAAATGCTTGTTATAATGCCTGGAAGTTAGTGATGAAGCCAGCACAATTTAGGTTTGTTAAGTTAATAACTGCCAAATATTACCTGCAATGTTTGTTTTCCTTTTCTTTTTTAGGCTATTTTGCGCGTGGCACATCAATAGAATGGAGAAACAATCTACCAAAAATCAATGACAAAGAAAAACAGGAAACCGTCATAATGAGGCCTTAATTTTTGAACTTTAGTTTTATCTACAAAACAAAACAATGTTTATGTAAACAGAATAACCGCATTTAAAGGCTGTTTATATAATCATTGGAGAGTCTTCAACTTCAGTTACATAATATGATTTTTTAGGGGTTCATGGGCTTTCTATTATTATTTCTGAGTCTTACCCATATTAAGCGTTATTAATTAATAGATACAATGCAAAATTTGATAGCTGTACATTGGTTGCGAATAAAAAAAAATTTTAAATAAAAACAGAGGGAAAGTTCCTGTAGTTCCATTCATATCCTATTTTAATTATTATGATGAGTCTAGTGGTGGCACTAGTTCTCTTCTAACACAAATTAATTAATAGGTTACTATTTTTTTCATTTTTATTGTTATTTTAGATGATAGCTATATATTTTTGTTTATAGTTTGACGGGAGCGGTTTTGTGACACGGAATGCGGATTATTAATTATAATTATTTGCAACAGGTAAACGAATTTAATTTTATTGCTTGTTATTCAATTGTTATTTTTCATAATTGACTAGGTATACCTACCTATATAATTCAAACAGCGCAATATCAATTACAATACTCTTTCGTTTTACAGGCGAAGGCCTAGAATAATACTTCTTCCGTTTAACCATTCAAATTCTAACCCAACCCAACTTTCCCAGGTTAAAAGGTGGTCAATTAATTTGTCTTATTATTTTGTCCAAAAAGAGAGCAATAATGTTTAAAATTGTGGAGACTATCGAGAAAGGCAGAAAAGAGTTGACGATTGTCCCGGAAAGCTGGAAAATGGCCAAGGAATATTATTTTGACCCAAAAAATTTGCTACCAAATTACAAAGGGACTACATCTTCTCCGGACCCAAGTTGGTACACATTCTACTGCAAATTGAAATGGGGTAATTTGGTTTCCTACGAAGACGCTGAGAAAGAAATGGTAAGCATGCATACTACTGAGCAAGAGGATAATGATGAAATTCGACCAGTTCCTCGAAGAGCAAAACTACTGCAGCCTAAGAAAAGTAGAATTACTAGTATTACTACCAATGTATTAAGGACTGATGACTTTAAATAGCCAATTCTTGCACTGTAAGTATCTAAGTATATTTCTAAAAATAGTCTTCATATTTTATACGATGCAACCTTTTTAATCCAGACATGTATCTACTGCTGGGTCCTATAAGTAATTTTAATAAACAAGTACATATATATTGTATTGTACTACATATCAAGAGCTGGAAGGTAGGACCTCGAAGCCGTCATAATTATTTATGTATTTGCTTATTTACACGAAGTTTAACAACGTCAAGTGTTAAAAAGATTCCGTTATTATCTATTGAAGTAAATGCAAACTAAACAGAAAATCCGTTTGGTAGAAAATAAAATATAGAAATAAGACATGTAGGTAAATCATTAAATAGATTACCATATAACTATCAACACATAACCTTAGTAAACGCTCTGTCTGCCATGAGATATCATCTACTTAGCCAAGAGAATACGAGCAGATTTCCCACAAACATATCTTCTGGTTAAGTTTTTGTGTTCTGCTCTAAAATTCATACCTACTCCACAAATTTAGTTACGAGTTACACGGTTAAAAATCAATTGGTGTAAACTGAAAAAAAAGTCGATGTTAAAAAATATGGGTGTGAAATTTTGAGTATATCATAATTGCTCAATTTTGTGTTGATTTTAATCATACAATGTTTTCATTAACTAAATTTTGATAACAAATTACTAAAAAATGAGCAGAACTTTTTACTTCACACAAATAAGTGCAAAGTATTAAAATATTACACAATATTGTGTAAATTCAACTCAAAGAATTAAAAATTTTTAGAATCAACCCGCTCGTGCCGCTTCGATTTGCCGTTGTTTTCACGGGTCGTTCGTGATCTATCTATCGTGAGGTGGGGTGGTTGGTCAGTGTTTTCCAGTGTCTCATTCGGTCAAGGACAGTTAAGCAGAGCTTGAGATTTTTGTTTTCCACGGCATCCACGTTTTTTCGGTCTATTTTTATTTTACTTATACCGGACGGTGTCATTTCGATCATCAATAAAATAGTAGGTAATAAAGTTTGTGACAATAAACAATAGACCTAAGAAGTATTCAACATGGCAAAACCTTTCAAACTAGAATATATCGGTCAAAAAGTGTGGGTGAAAATCGCAGATACGACCACAACTCACGATTGTATTATTAATATAGGTATAAG